GCTGAGCACCTTGGGTTTGAGAAGCCCTGCGACCTATGCTAAATAAATGCTAAGCTGCTAAAATGCTGCTTTTGCGCCGGGTCCGGCTGCTTTTTGCCGTCCCGATGCTCTGGGCGCAATCTTGGGATCCTCTTGCTCACTTCATCTCACTTCCATCTCTCTCCAAAAAGGAACTCTACGACTATGGCCACCTTTTTTTCAAAGAGCTACCGACCATACGACACAGAGATCTTGGCGAAGCTCTAGAACAAGTCCATTTTTATGGTTCCACCTTGAAGAAATGCCTTGCAGTCACAGACATCTTGACTTTTGATAACCTTTGAATGTAATTCTTCTAGGTGGCATGCCATTCTGCAGACCAAAATTGCGTGCCGAGGCAGCCGGTTCTAATCTCAAGCGCTTGCTGCAATGCAACACTCTCACTGCATGAAAGTTCCGATGGACACGTCATGGTTTCGCCATCGTCACAGGTTGATGCAGCTCAAGATCATGTCAATGCTTTGACTCATGTGGCAGCACTTTCCGTAAATGCGGCTGTCCTCTCGACCGTTTGTGGCACTTGTACGAAGTTCTCTTTCTGCACCGGCACGTCTACCTAGGAGGATTCATGGAACAATTGGCAGACTCTGGCAGACCATAAGATAGCAGAGTATTCCTCCGGTCACTTACGCTGTACAAGAGTACTTTTTGTGCAAATGGTAGCCAGGGTTAATCATCAAGCGACTTAACAGGGCTATCAATACATTCAATTGTGTGACCAAAAAATGTATCCAGCTGTGTCTCAACCTATATATATATATGTTTTACTGTGTACGCATACTACAGTGAAATATTACTTGCTATCCTACTTCTCAACTTCCAACCAGCAAGAAGTGAGAAGATTGAAAGCCTGTGTGACAGCTCATGGTCTGATCTTGGACTAAAGCTCCTGCGTCATCGAAGTCAAAGCAAATGAGCTGCCGCTGATGAGACATCTCATCAAAGCTGGTCAGCAGATGAGACTGGAAAAATAAAATAATTAATTTGCATATGTTTTAACTTTGAAGTTAAGTCTAATGGGTTGCCATATGGAGTCATACATCTTCTCCGGGTCTTCACTCGAGTTTCAAGTGCGCTTCTTTCTTTAACTGGAACGATTTATACGTGACAGAGAAAACCGGAACTCAGGGTTTTATTCCTCTTACGTGCAAACCAAACCCTGTAACCTGTCCGCTTCAGTGTGGACAAATGCCAGCGCCTTCTCAGAAAGATGATTTAACCTACGATTTCAAGGGATTGCAAAAAGGGATTTTAATTCAGAGAGCAGAGCAGAGTAGAGAAGAGTAGAGAAGAGTAGAGAAGAGTGGAGAAGATTAGGGTGGGGTATGCAATGAATGGTAGGACTTAACCACAAAGCATGCAATGAATGGTAGGACTTAATCAAAGTTTTGGAATGGACTGTGTGAAACTCTGAAAAATACTAAATCCAGAGTTTATTGAAGGAAGGAACCCTTATCATTAAAGAGCCTTGGGTTGTTCTTAAAGGGGTTACTCTTAAACTCTTTATCTAAAAAAAAGGTGCCAAAACAGTCCAATCCAAAAAATCCAAACATTTCCAAATCAATCCTAGCCAAAAAACTCCAAAAAAGACCAATCCAAAAAAAAAACAAATAAGTTCCAAACAAAGACCAAACAGTTCAAAAAAAAATAAAACATAGAAAAATCACAAAAATAAAAGGTCGGTTAAAGTTAATGTAAAAAATATTAAAACAAATATATAATGAAAAACAATCTTTGGAATGAAATGGAATCATTTGGAATCATATGGAACTATCATGAACTATGTATAAGGAATGTTCCCTGAGCGTCCCTAGAATGAGTGTCCCCCTTCATAGACAAGACCTTATAATATATATATATATCATATTATATTATATTATATTATAATTACATTATATTATAATTATATTATATTATATTATATTATATTTCATAGAAGACTTGTGCTCCCCCCCCACAGCCCCCCCCCAAAAAAACTTTTTACTTAAAGTATATCATTAAGCACTATTAAGTGTTATTAAGTGTTACTAAGTGTTATTAAGTTGTTTGTCTGGGGTATATACATAAAGACCTACAGACCACCAAAATCAAGGATGTACCGACACAATGGGATACAATACCTTATTAATAACTATTAAGTAGAAGCAACTTGGAAATGGAAAACTGTTCAAAATCATAGCATCTAAAAAACACATTAAGTGTTATTAAGAAAAATATGTGGTATCATAGCATGCATGTATATCTACATGATCTATCATGCACAGTGTTTAGATTCACTCTCATGAATGTATACATCAATGACAAGGAACTGAAGTCAATGATTGGTCAACATGTAGGGTTACATCATGCATGTATATCTGCATGATGTATCACGCACAGTGTTTAGATTCACTCTCATGAATGTATACATTAATGACAAGGAACTGAAGTCAATGATTGATCAACATGTAGGGTTACATCATGCATGTATATCTGCATGATGTATCACGCACAGTGTTTAGATTCACTCTCATGAATGTATACATTAATGACAAGGAACTGAAGTCAATGATTGGTCAACATGTAGGGTTGCATCATGCATGTATATCTGCATGATGTATCACGCACAGTGTTTAGATTCACTCTCATGAATGTATACATTAATGACAAGGAACTGAAGTCAATGATTGGTCAACATGTAGGGTTACATCATGCATGTATATCTGCATGATGTATCACGCACAGTGTTTAGATTCACTCTCATGAATGTATACATTAATGACAAGGAACTGAAGTCAATGATTGGTCAACATGTAGGGTTACATCATGCATGTATATCTGCATGATGTATCACGCACAGTGTTTAGATTCACTCTCATGAATGTATACATTAATGACAAGGAACTGAAGTCAATGATTGGTCAACATGTAGGGTTACATCATGCATGTATATCTGCATGATGTATCACGCACAGTGTTTAGATTCACTCTCATGAATGTATACATTAATGACAAGGAACTGAAGTCAATGATTGGTCAACATGTAGGGTTACATCATGCATGTATATCTGCATGATGTATCACGCACAGTGTTTAGATTCACTCTCATGAATGTATACATTAATGACAAGGAACTGAAGTCAATGATTGGTCAACATGTAGGGTTACATCATGCATGTATATCTGCATGATGTATCACGCACAGTGTTTAGATTCACTCTCATGAATGTATACATTAATGACAAGGAACTGAAGTCAATGATTGGTCAACATGTAGGGTTACATCATGCATGTATATCTGCATGATGTATCACGCACAGTGTTTAGATTCACCTCTCATGAATGTATACATTAATGACAAGGAACTGAAGTCAATGATTGGTCAACATGTAGGGTTACATCATGCATGTATATCTGCATGGTGTATCACGCACAGTGTTTAGATTCACTCTCATGAATGTATACATTAATGACAAGGAACTGAAGTCAATGATTGGTCAACATGTAGGGTTACATCATGCATGTATATCTGCATGATGTATCACGCACAGTGTTTAGATTCACTCTCATGAATGTATACATTAATGACAAGGAACTGAAGTCAATGATTGGTCAACATGTAGGGTTACATCATGCATGTATATCTGCATGATGTATCACGCACAGTGTTTAGATTCACTCTCATGAATGTATACATTAATGACAAGGAACTGAAGTCAATGATTGATCAACATGTAGGGTTACATCATGCATGTATATCTGCATGATGTATCACGCACAGTGTTTAGATTCACTCTCATGAATGTATACATTAATGACAAGGAACTGAAGTCAATGATTGGTCAACATGTAGGGTTGCATCATGCATGTATATCTGCATGATGTATCACGCACAGTGTTTAGATTCACTCTCATGAATGTATACATTAATGACAAGGAACTGAAGTCAATGATTGGTCAACATGTAGGGTTACATCATGCATGTATATCTGCATGATGTATCACGCACAGTGTTTAGATTCACTCTCATGAATGTATACATTAATGACAAGGAACTGAAGTCAATGATTGGTCAACATGTAGGGTTACATCATGCATGTATATCTACATGTATCATGCAAAACAGTTAACAATGTGAAATGAAATAGGTGACCAGAACCAGCATTTGCAACAGTTGTAGTTTTTTTTTGCATGCGGTAGTATCATATTCCTTCTTTGTTTTATGCACTATATGTGCTCGTGCTTGATCAGCGTGTGGTTTGAAAATACAAGACAAGAATAACCCCAATAAAATTTTGAATGGTTGGAAATTTAAAGGGAATTTGGACCCAAAAACGTTCCAACGGTTCAGACATTCATTGAAACCAATATCGTTTTGGGATATTTGTTTATGATAACCCCAAACTTTCAAACATTCTTACTCTGAACCGTTTGGAAAGGCAGCATTCCAACCATTCAAAAAAAATATAAAATACTTTGTGGAACTTTCAAACCACCATTGACCACGTACCATTTTTCCAAGAGGCTGTCACTTGCCACAACTATTTGTTTTCCTCCACGCCATTGCAACAAATTCAATCAGATGTCAGCTTGGCCTGAAACGTTTAGATAAAACATTTAGTATATAACAGAAATAGAAAAAGCTTCTTAAAAACAATGGTAAGTAGGTTAGTAAGGAAATATTTAGGTTTGAATTTTCAATCCTGGCAGTTTTGGCCAAACACTCGTGGCTACCGCATTGCAATATGACTTTGCCAGTGCAACGCTGGATTTCAAAAACGCACTTGCAGCTGAAGCTTTGCTCCATGCTCTTCTCTTAGCACTGTCCCTGTCCCACGTAAAAAAACACATTTGGTAATGGTAATGTTTATTTGCTAACGTCAAAAACTATCATAGGTTTTGGACATATATATATATATAATATTATATATATATATATTACATTTCACATATTTATATGCACATAACACACCGATGATTTATCACGGGGGAGGAACCAGAAGCGTTTCCAACGCAGCTTTGATTTGGTCAGTGTTGGGTTTAACCCATGACGCATGTTCTTTTTTGTAATACGAGCGGCCTATCAAGTCTATGAATTCAAACACTTCTTCCACTGCCGCCAATTTTGGCCTGATCCCTGCATAGAATGGCCAACTTTTCTGTTTCGTTCGCTGGACTCCTCTGTCTTTCAAACCTGAGGGAGTTTCGTTAACAAAGGAAAATCATGAACAGGGCTCAAATATTTGAAAACAACACAGTGGTTTTGCGAAAAAAAACTTTTCGAAAATACGCACCTTGAAAATCCACCTGAACCATTCTGTTTTCTGGCATCCATGCCAAATACAGAGCAGGAATATCTGGTAGCAAATTTTTGAGGCATTCTGGGGTGGCCCTTCTCTTTTTCCCTGGTTCTCGTGTTTTCTTCTGTGCCGGTCCTGCCCTGTCCTGAGCTGGCTTGAGTTCCACGGCTTGGAGAAATGAACCCTGAGCAGGACCAGCAAAGGGTTCAGAAGGAACGTTGTCACCTTCAGGCGCATTTTTCTCTTCCTTTTTGGGTGTCTGTTTCTCATTGTCTTCTGCCTCTGCCTCGGCTTTGCTTTGCGCAGACTTCTTCAGCTTTGAAAGGGCTTTGTTTTGCCTGTCCTCAAGCTCTTGAATACAGCCTTGGACAAGTTGATCGAACTCTCCTTGTTCTTGTGCGTCCAAATGACTTACGGCTTCGATCAATTCCAACGGGGCACTGGGTCCCTTTTTTGTTTCACCAGCAATTCTCTCAATGATTTTCTCTTGCTCATCTCGGGGCAAGTCTTTGCACACAGCTTGGACGACTGCTGTCACAAGATCTTTCTTGAGTACATTATTGTTTTTTCCAGACCCAGTGGAAGGAGGTAGCACGCCAATACCAGAAAGAATGCTCTTGAGTTGAGGAACTGTAAAATCCTTTCCAGCAAGTATGGCCGACATCAAGAGCCCTGTGCGGGGAGCTGTTTCCCCAAGAACCTCAGTCTCAAGATCATGCTGGAGAAAATTGCTTATATTATATAAAGGCACAACCTATAGCAACAAAATCAAAGAATAAACACATTCCATCATAAGACAATATTGTAGCTTATCATTTCCTGAGAAGCAATTGCATGTGAATGGTCTGTGGCAGCCACTGGCACACAACACGGAGGCAACAGCATTGAAGGGCAATGTTGCCATGGGCAAAGATCTCCCAATTCAAAATTGAATATCCAAGAAGGGGTATCGGCTTGCTCTGGTGCGATGGTGAAGTAGTACTGAAGGGGCAAACAAACCATCAACTTCAAACCATCAATTTCTGTTACTTTAAAAAACATAATGTAATTGAATGGGGCCGGAACTGTGTTTTATCCCCAGCCTTCCCACCAATTCTCTCATCTATCACAGGCAGTGCTTGTGTTGCCCACTCCTTGAAGCCGAGTGAAAATATGTATTTGTTGGTGTTCCGGTTGTAATAGACTTCTCTGGGCAAAAAAAGGCAACCTGCAGAAGACTGAATTATTCAAAGCACACACAAAAGTTTAAAAGCAATCTCGGTTTCTTTTGGTCTAACATTGGTTGCAAAAACATAAAGTTCAGTTTTGGCTGAATTGATTGAGAAAACCCTTGCCTGCCCATGCTTTGTTCACGTTTGCAAAGTTGCGTTGCGCATCCATCAAAATGAATGCGGCTGCTGCAGCTGATTGCTTGTTCGCTAAATAGCCGGCTTTGCGAATTTCTGCGAGAATCTGCTCTGGCTTGGGGAGAATTTGATGGAAAGTTTCTTTCCCCTTGGTCCACACTCGATTTTTGTAAAACTCATCATCTGTTTGTAGACGGGTCAGTTCAACCAAATCATCTGTAGAAACCTTGAGCTGCTCCACGCCGCCATCGTTTGCATGTTTGGAGGTGGCCGCATATAACCACTTGGAAAATACTGACATCCTCATGTTGTTCCTTGTCGAACGCAGTGAGCAATCTTTCACCGTGTTGATCACATTTTCTAGGCAGTATTTTGTGGTTGAAGGGCCGGCATTCATGGAAAATGCCATTTTCCGGAGAACTGGGCTTTGGGGGTCCCAGTCGCATCTGATGCCTTCTATGAAAGCCTCTCTGGTCACAACCCATGTGTTTGTGCCCACATCTTCTAGCAGCTTGTGCAGTGAGGACTGCTTCGAGGCATTTTTTTCCATATCTTCTAGTTTCAGAATCCCTTCGGCAAGTTTTCTAAGGAATGTTCTCGCCCTTGTGCGCACTAGCTCATCCGGGGACATGATCCTCACAAGACAGTATGGGAACACCAAGCCGAAGTGTGCTTGACTCCAAGCACGGTTGCAGGCCAAACTGAAAACCAGTTTTCCATACTCGCCCAAAAGAACTGATTCATCTCGAAGAAGTTCATTTGCAGGATCAAATTCAAAAACGTGGTTTGGAGATGGCATTGTGAGCTTCAAACGGTCTATGGTTTCATGGCCGACAAGCTTTTGAATCATCTGGACAATGGTCTGGTGCCAGCGGCCATTTGCCCTGCTTGCTGCCCACCTCATCATTCCTTGAGCTCCCTCTTTTTGCGAACGCAAATGCTGCACAAATTCATGGTGAAGTGCATCACAGCCATCTACAAGCATCCTGACACGAATCTGCAGATGCTTCTCATCATAAAGGGCCCTTACAAATGCATAAGTAGACCGATACTTGCTTCGGAGAGCACTGAAAGCCTGCCTTGATTTTGTCTGGACTCATTGGTTTGTGGACTTACAAATGCATAAGTAGACCGATACTTGCTTCGGAGAGCACTGAAAGCCTGCACTGAAAGGGAAACAAGGATTGGTTTGTGGTACAGTAATTCATTTGGGAACAAAAGTATACTTAAAATTTGTAACTAGCCTGGCCAATTGTATCTTCTCTTGTAAGTAATGAAAATGGAACAAGCCACCGTGTGGCTGCTAACTCTGCTGCTTCTGCTGCTCCTTGTGGTTGCTCGCGTGGGGGGGGGTCTTGGCCCATGTCATCATCATTGTCAAAAATACCTTTCTCAGCGTCCTCAGCGTTAGGACATTCAAAACTACTAGTGCCAAAGTGCACCTTTGATAAGCTCTAACCCTGTTGAAATCAGAAGACCAGTAGGCTCTTGAAAATGATTTTGAAACAAATATATAATAGATCAAGCAGAAGCAAGTAGCTCTCAGTAGACGTTGCAAAGTTGCAATATGCGTGACAGTCTCGCTCAAAATAGTCCAATTCCGATCCAGTTGAGAAAAGGAGTCGCATATTCCAAACCATGCTTTCCCCCTTGCCTTTGGAATTCTTTTCTCACAGATGTTGATCCACTCCTCGGGTGTGATGCCATGGAATTCAGTGAGTCCCCTATCCTTCATGATAAGTTCGTTCATGTGGGCCATGTAGTCAACATCGGTACCCTTTCGACTCATGAAATCGGAAGCCGCATCAGCTAGTCTGCATTGATTCGTTCCACTTCCAAATGGACCACGGGTCCAGTTGCAAAGGAGTGTGGCTTTCAAAAGTGTGGGTTTCAACTGTGCCTCAGTGATGGCACGCAGGAAGTCGTTCCACTGAGGGTGTGAGCCTTCTGGCTCAGGGTATACACGCAGCCCACATGGTCCGGCCAGAAAATTCATAGCTTTGAAACCACATGCCTCCTCATCCATGCAGCTTTTCAACACTGGCCTCGTGTCAACATCTTCACTCAGCTGTATATTCTGAACAGACCCGAGACCTCCTGCAGTGAGGTAATCTTTCGGGACAAAACGATCCAAGCCAGCCCCTGTCATTGCATAAAGTGAATTGTGCAGACCAAGCGCCATCACCTCAAACAGCATTTCGGTGTAAATTGGGTAAAAAGACGCACAACTAATTGTCAAGTAGACCCATTATATTACTTCTTGAGTACATACAGGAAAATATACAACGAACAATTGATGGTTGTCAAGAAGCCTTTCAGACTCCTATTGCTCCTTTTTTACCTATGGTCAAGAAACCAACAACTGCCAATAAGAAGTTTCTCGAAGTCACTCAAATTATCAAGTTCTAAGAAAGATGAGAATACTGATTTGACCTCTTTTGATTATGACCTTTCAAAAAGCTTCAGACATAACTACCCTTCAAAGCTCAGTGCTGCCGGGGCACATACATGCTGTTGCTGACCTTTCTCTCTGTATTCCTGTGCTGCACGATGGGCCATCATAATTTAAGTGGCTGACCGAAGAAAAAACACACATGGTTGGCATGATATATCAATGTATAGAACACAAATATCAGTTCGAACGAGAACACCGAACATTTTCAGCCATTGCGCCTGGTGGCAATAGCTGCCTCTGTTGGTTTGAGAAGAGCGTAGTGGTCCATGGCCTCGGAAATGAATGTTATTAAGGCAACAGAGTGTGTTGATTTGAACCTTATAACATCACAACTGAAAAATGATGATGAGGAGTGCTGGGTTCATTTTTTTGTATTCATAGGGCTTCCTGTTCGAACCTGAGACGAGATAAGTTATTGCAAAATCCGGGCTTGAATTGAAAGGCACGGGCCATACATACATAAACAGAAAATACCTACCTTCGACACGCTAAACTGTTTGCCGAGTAGTCTTCATCAAGAATATCCAAGTTAAAATTACTTTTGAAGGTGGGGCTCTTACTGGCACTAGTTAGTTAGTTGGCATCAGTCTGTAGATTGGTTTTGCTGTCTGCTGCTACCATTCATTGAATAGCTGAATATCAAAAACATAGAAACATTATCCAGTACATATGATATGTTGATTTAGCGAGTACTGTAGTGCGCATTAAACTAAGAGATCAACAAGTCGCTCCACAACACTCAGGTAATAACATTTCACCATTTTCTACCCAGGGACATACCATCATTAGGAATGATTCATTCTTACCTACTTGACCATCTACAGTCACAAAACACTGACATTTTCTGCTTTGTCTTTCAGACTCACCTAAGTCCAGCAGCCAGTGTGTAGGGTGAAGATCATATGAAAAGCAGAATCACACCACATATAGTAAATAATATGTTTAGCCTTCGATGAGCCATGGAAACCCAGAACATAAGTAAATAAACACAGGATAGTCTAAGACTTCACCCACTGACTGCAACTTTGACGTGACAACTGTGTGCAAGGTGTCTTACCCTCAGTACCTCGCAACGTGCCGCTAAGAATCTTTAGCCACACTTTCTGTGCGATTCAAAAAATTGGAAAACAACACAGTTGTTAATGACTGCATACAGATATATACATGTATATATATATATATACAGAATAGATTTCTCTAAATAAGATAAAATGATATGTTGTAAATCAAAACTAAAGCTGCTGACATGGTACTGTAAACTGGTTGGCGCACTTATATTGTGTGTGTGGCTCTCTGGACTAGTGTTTAGTCCACAACTACAATTTCGACCACTTTTGTCGGTTTTTCATCTTGCAATACCCTTTTCGCCCTAATCTTGTTCTGTGGTGTCTTCAATCCCATCAAAGATTGCACCGAGCGTTGCGAATCAGCAGGCTCAGTCTTCTCAAAATGATGTTTGTTCACTTCCAAGGCAGCCATGATGAAGCGTCGTTTGTGCCTCATGGCTGTGCTGAATGGACAAATAAAAGATTGTTTGCATAAACCATCATCCCTATCAAATTAGTACTTCAAAATTGAAACATTGACCAGAAAATAGCAATAACAAGGCACATTGGGGTTTTGCACTTATCCTGATCGTCGTCAGCCGGATCATTCGTCAAATGCCTCTTTCTTCTCGGGGCTTTTGGCGTCGATGCAATGATTGGTGACCTGGGGTTCAAACCACTTAGTAGTAGGTTAGTGGGGATATGACTTGAAAAAGTACAGTAAGACATACCCACGTGCTAGCAAACCAAAACATAATCAATTCTATTTTACAAACTGAAAAATAAGCAAGTGTCAGAACAAGTTTTGCTCTTCAAAATCAGTGTGCTGTATTACGCTGCATTCATAGAGCACCAGTCAGGTCAGACTCAGCATTACCAAGCTCCAAAATGGACCATGGCGAAACAGCTAGTCATTTGAAATAGATTGTGGTGCTTCAAACAAAGCCTTCCAAATTTAAAATTGGCTGTGTATTCCGATGATATGTGTATATACTAGATTCATGGATAGGTGGATGGATAGATAGATAGATAAATAGATAGATAGATACATAGATAGATTGATAGACAAACAGATATATATATATAAGATAGATATAGGTCGATAGATTCATATCGATTTGTAGATAGATAGGATATATTTATATATATATTTATTTATATGTATATATTTATTTATATGAGCTATCAGTATGTTTAGAATCTGAACTTCGGTGTCTCATGTTTCCAATGATTTTGCGTACAACAAATTTGTTGTTTGTTGTGAGCTCCTAATGAAATCCGCCACCCTAAACAGGGCCCGGTGTCAAAGGCTGTTTTGGTGTCTCTTTCAGGGGCTTGGAAGGGGGCTTACCACCAACAGGGCCTGGTGGCAAAGGCTTTGGTGGTCTTTTTTTAAGTGGATTGACAGGGGGCTCTGCTCCATGGGGAACCCGTCCTGGGGCAAAGATTCTGTTACCTGACTCATCAATGCGCATTTTATCTTCCTCTGCTGGCTCACTCAAGACCACTGTTACTGTTTGCCCCTCTCTGTCAATTTCAGTTTCCTCTTCCTTCACTACATTTAGTTTCCTTTTCTTCTTTTTCTTTTTCTTATCTACCTTGATGACTTCCTGTGGTACATCGTCTTCCTCGATTTTGGGCTCAAGAAGCCTGGGGTCTGGTTCCAGTGCACGTTTGACAATTGTCGAAGAACTAGCGGGATTTCCTGTCCTTGTCTCCTGCTGCTCCTGGGATGGCATTGGCGAAGCCATTCAATTGAAATCGGCTAATATAGATAGAGGCTTGAACCAAATGAAGTTGGATAATTCAGCTCAACTTAGTGCAAGCAAAGAGCACAGCAATAACCTGACTCTGGGAGGAACGGGATGCACCAGCAACTTGACTGGTATTGGAAGG